GAGCGCCGCGCGGCCCTGCCCGCGGGCTCCGGGTGTCGGCGGGGCGGCGCCGCGGAACATGACGGGGCCCTGGGCGGCCCTCGCCCTCCTCTGGGGATCACTATGCGCGGGTAAGGACCCGGCGCGGCGTAGGGGCGCGGGGACCCGGGGCGCGCGCGGTGTTTACCAACAAAGGGCGGACCCGCGGGGCCTCGGCGTGGAGCCACCTGCCCGCCGCTTGCACCTCTCGGGGCTGGGATCGCGGTTGCGATCGTGGGGTGCGATCTCTTCCGTGCCATTCCTTTCCTCCTCTGGGGATCACTATGCGCGGGTAAGGACCCGGCGCGGCGTAGGGGCGCGGGGACCCGGGGCGCGCGCGGTGTTTACCAACAAAGGGCGGACCCGCGGGGCCTCGGCGTGGAGCCACCTGCCCGCCGCTTGCACCTCTCGGGGCTGGGATCGCGGTTGCGATCGTGGGGTGCGATCTCTTCCGTGCCATTCCTTTGCGAAAATCTGGTTCTCAGAGGCGCTCGGGTGATGGGGGCACCTGGAGCGTCAGGGTTGGGGGTTCAGGATCCCCGCGGGCGCGTGGACCCCAGAGACCGAGCGAGGAGAACCTGAGCGCGGGGAAGGCGGCCAAGCGGGGCGGGTAGATCTAATCGGGGGGCGGCCGGGGGAGGGCTGTGCGTCCCTCTGAGCCATAGGAGTTGCAAGGCGAAGGGGGCGGCTTCTCCCAGCCCGCCGGAGTCCCCTTTCACCCAGTCCCGCCACTCTGCTTCGTGATCCTCGCGCGGCTGGCTTCCTACCTGCGCCTGCTTTCCTTGCAGCGGGCCGCAGATGCGCCCCTCATGAGACCGCTTTTGTTTAGGGCAGCTGGGAGGGTAGAGGAGGGTAAGAGGGAAAACCAACAGGTCCTGGACCGCTCCGGCCTCCTAGAGGCACGTGGCGGGCGTCAGTGACCTGAGCTCAGCTCGCCAGCGGCTGCGGGCGTGTGGATTGGGGGTGTTCGGCTCGTGTGCGTCTGGACCGGGATGTTTGGGTGAATACGCGCGAAGTTGTGTTGGGAAAGCGTCCCCCCAACCCCAGAGCCCCAAGCATCGATTTCTCTCTCCCCATGGTGCTGAAGCGTGCACAACTCGGGTGGGATCTCTCCGGGACTGTCTTGGATCAGTACTGGCAAACGTGGACAGTCGGGCATTGAGAAAAACTCTGAGTGGTGGGGACCGCTGGTACCCGGCGGCCGGAGCTCTGGGTCCTGCACGTCTTTGTTCCCAACCCCCATTACACATGCAGCACGGGTCCCCTGCTGCCCGAGGTGGCAGCAGCGGAGTCTGGGAAACCCGTGAGGGGCGGGGCTGGGCGTGCAGGGGAGGGGCTGGGATCCCCATGTTGCTGCGGGGGTGGGGATCCCAGATGGTCTTTTCGAACCCTCACCGGGATCCCAACACTCACTCTTCCTTCTTTTGCAAGGTAGTGAGGCTTAGCAGTTAACTCTGGCCAGGAGGGTTCTTGTTTGACTCTGGGGACTCTGGATCCTGAGAGCACGAACCAGAGAGCAGAGACCGCTTGTTTGGTACCTGAGCGCCCTGTTGGGAAGGAACATCACTGCTGTCTTGGAGCCCTTTCCTGTGTGGTGGAGGCAAAGTGGTGCTTGGGTTGAACATTTTGTTCCCCTCTGCCACCTTGCCTTTTAAAGAGTGTTGTACTTGACGTTCTTCTCCAAGAACGAGGGCTTTGAAATGAAGAGAAGCATTGGCCGGCCAAGGGGAGGGTAGCAGTGGACACAGAGCAGCTCACCTGAAGGCCTCCAGCCTCCCCGCCCCGGGATTTCCTAATCCAGGCATTTGCTTTGGCTCTTTCAAGTTCAGGCCTGCAGGAGGCATCCTCTGAGGACAGGATGCCTCAGATCTGGAATTTGGAAATCAGTTCCTACTTCCCCAGTTTGGTTCAGTCTAGCCTCACCAATCATCTGCCTCCTTAGAGCAGGGTGAGATTGTATGTCCTTTTCCTCGTTGCACTGCTTGGGCCATGCCTAGCAGAGTACCCTGCCAGGGGCAGCTGCTTTCTGACTCTTGAGAACCTGTGTTCCTGCCCTGGGTAGAATTACCTGGGTGTTTATTGTGGTCCATCAGGCAGTGCTGTCGTGGCCACACCCTGTCTTTTGAGGAACTAGGGGACAACTTCCCTGGTCCAGGTTGGTGCAAAATTGGCCTTTGGCTTCAAGGTGGCCTTTCCTCCAAGTCGTTGCCTTGCTGTTTAGTATCACAGAACTCTCTAGAATAGTGCTGTCCAACAGAATCAGACTGAACAGATATATTTAACTTAAAAATTTCTAGTGATCATGTTAATAAAAGGAATGAGAAATAGTGTGTCTTAGTGTTTCCCAGCTGCTCTGACAGAGTATCACGGACTGGGCAATTTAAATAACAATTTTTATTTTCTCATAGTTCTTGGTGCTGAAAGTCAGATCAGGGTACTGGGATGATCTCATGTTTTTCTCTTCCTTATAAGAGCACTAATCCCTTCATTCACGTGATGTATTTAAACTTAGGCAGGCACACACATATACACATACATTTTTAAAAATCTGAAAAAAAAGGGCTGGAAAGATAGCTCAGTGGTTAAGAGCACTGACTGCTCTTGCAGGAGACCTGGGTTTGGTTCCCAGCACCCACATGGTGGCTCACAACCTTTGGTAACTCCAGTCCAAGGGATCTAATGTGTTCTCCTGGCTTCTGTGGGCATTGCACGTGTGTGATGTACTTATATACATGCAGGCAAAGACACACAAAAATAAATAAATTTAAAAATCTGGAAAAAGAGCACTAATCCCATCCTAAGGGCCCCATTCTCATGATTTAATGCAATTTTAATTGCTTCCCCCAAAATCCCATTTCCAAAGACAATTATATTGGGAGTTAGGGCTTCACCATATGAATTTCGGGGCAAGGTCACATTCTTTTTCAGTCAGGTGGAATTAATATTAATAATATATTTTGTTTAACCTTACATAAAGAATGTCCATTTTAACATATAATCCCTATTCAAATAACTGAGATGTTTTCCCTTTTTTTAATATTTTATTTTATTTTATGTGTGTGTTGCCTGCATGTAGGTAAATGCACCCATGTTGTGCAATGCCTGCGGAAGACAGAAGAGGCTGTCAGATCCCCTGGAACTGGAGTTACGGACAGCTGTTAGCTGCCATGTGGGTGCTGGGATTCGAATCCGGGTCTTCTGCAAGAACAGTGTTCTTAGCTGCTGAGCCATCTCTCCAGCCCTGACGTTTTACATTTTTAAAAATTATCTTCAAAATACAGCATATATCTTACTCTTATAGAACATCTCAATTCCAACTTTCCACATTTTAACTTCTCTGTAGTATATTTGGCTAGTTGCTACTATATTGGACAGCACAGTCTTAGAAGGAAAGGCAGTATTTATGCAATAATCCATAGTTCTGAAAGTCTCTCTTGAAATACTTATTTTTAGGGGCTGGAGAGATAGCTTAGTGGTTAAGAGCATTGGCTGCTCTTGCAGAGGACCCAGGTTCGGTTTCTAGCACCCACACAGTGGCTAACAACTGTCTGTAACTCTAGTTCCGGGGGAATACAAAGCCCTCTTCTGACATCCTCGGCCATTACATGACATGGGAGCATTTAACATATGTGAAGGCTGGACACTGACAGATGTGTTTTGTCCAGTTCCTCGTGGATAGAGGTTGTTTGGTCCATTGTAGTGGTAGAGGCCAAGGGCATGGACCACAGTGTTATGGCCACCCCTTCCCAGGGAGGGTGTGCTTTGCTGTTTATCTTTTTCTCTGCTGGGCCTTCCAGGCCATCTGTTGGGTGGGATGCCCTTTGGGAGGTTGCAGGTACCATCCTCAGTTTTCAGAGGCTCTTACTTAGCAGATGTGACACACTTGCCCATCCTCCTAGGATCCTTCAGCTGGGTGAAGACGTAAGACCTAGAACCCAATGACTTAGGTAGGCTTCTGTCATGTATGCCTCTGTAGCTCTTTCTGGGCACCAAGAGCCCCCCAAGCTCTGGATTTTCCTGGCAGTCACTTAAAGAACTCCCTTTGCAGGGAGTCCAGTGAAGAGCCCCATTGACTTTTATGTTATGCCCATGTGAGAATCCTTAGGAGCTGTTATCCTTCCCTTAGAAAAGTATAAATCAGTGTTTATGCGCATACTTGGCAAACATTGTGTATACACACTGTTTTGTACCCTTTCTGGGCTCCTTAAAAATTTTAACTGCAGGGGCTGGAGAGATGGCTCAGCGGTTAAGAACACTGGTTGTTCTTGCAGAAGACTCAGGTTCGAATCCCAGCATCCACATGACAGCTGACAACTGTCTGTAACTCCAGTTCCAGGGGATCCGACAACCTCTTCTGTCCTCTGTGAGCATTGCATGACACAGGTGCACTTACCTACATGCAGGCAATACACGAATGCACATAAAAATAATAAAATATTAAAAAAAAATTTTTAACTGCAGGACTGGAGACATGATGGCTCAGTGTTTAAGAGTACTAATTGTTTAGCAGTGGACCTGTACCCATATCAGACAGCTCTAAGGTTTAGCACCAAGCTCCCATATCAGATGGCTCACACCCACTTGTAACTCTAGTTTCAGGGGAGCTGATGCCCTCTTCTGGCGTGCATGGTCACCTTCACATATGGGGCACATAAACTCCTGCAGGTACATACACACAGAGTAAATAAGTTACAAACCTGGAAAAAAAAAATTCTGACTACCTGCAAACACAAGTGTCCTCAGAAGGCTGTGTACAATGGATTCATTCCCCTTAGTGTCTCTGATTCCCCTGTTCTGGCCCCAGGACATGTCCTTGCCTTTACTTCTGCCTCTTGTGATTCTTCTGCCCCTCGTTCAACTTCCAGCCCTTGTCTCTTTCCTCATCTTGGAATCCATTTCCCTTGAGTGCCTGTGTTTTTTGTCCCTTCTGTGAATGAGAGGTCAGAGTAGTGCCAGTGGAAACCACAGAGCCTGAGTTTGGAGCCATTCATAGACCCTGACCTACCACCATGGATTGGGATCCATTGGTTTGAGTGGTAGGAGCAAGTCTGGACCATACTGTGTGTGTGTGTGTGTACATGTTCATGTGGGT